ACCAAGCAGCAAGGGCTGCTCAGACAGTGATGGTGTTTTGGAGGAGGGTCTGCACACGGCTACCAGAATACCGAGAGCTGCAGTGTGCAGCCTATTAGCATTCCTGGTATACTTCTGCCAGACACCATCTCTGGCATGCTAAGCACCCATGTCAAAGGGCAGGTTACTGTCACTGGCCCCAGAGGTCAGTTCCCACAGCCCAGCCTCTGGGAGGGACCAGTGAGCCAATGCTCCATTCTGAGCAGGCAGGGAAGGCAGCTTGCTGATGGGGCCTTCAGTGTGGCCAAGGTGGACAGCAGCAGGGTCTGCTTGCGATCAGGGGTCAGCATCTGCCTCCTGGCTACACAGTGTCCTTGCTGCAGCTTTCCTGGAAAGAACAACATGGGCTGTGAATTTGCACCAGAACACAGGCCAGTTTCTGCCCTAGACTGTCTCTGACCCTGAAGTCTCTTGTGGCAGCCTCCCTCCACTTTAGGGTCTTACGGGCTAAGCACTCAGGTGTCCTCCCAGGAAGGCAAAGCCGAGCCTGTGCGCCAAGCCCCAAGTCCTGCATCTGCAGGATGTGCTCAGTGCTCGCCTGAGACATTCTCGGACTTGGGGAGAGCAATCCCATGTATGCTGAAGCAGGAACGGGGCAACCTGTATCCCACAGTGCTTTCAGGCTATAGGGTAAGAGCCCCTACAGGTCTCCCCTCCACCCAGCAGCACAGCCATGATTGGCCTCTGCCTTTGCTTGTGGTGGTGAGAAGGCTGTACTACTGACCTATGGTCACAGGCCAGGCAGCCTCTGCTATCACAGGGGAGCCCTGCTAGGGCACCTCTGTCCTACCACTTCTGAAGCCTGGATACTGGGACTCATCCCGCACCAGGGCAGGGGTCAGGCAGGCACCTCTCCCAGCAGGTGCCACAGCTGAGGCACTCAGCAAGAGCTGCCAGGAGACCCTCATCCATGCAGCCTTCTTTCACCAGGGAGAGAGTGGCCATGGGGCCCACTGGCAGAACAGGGGGTCCCTGCTAAAGCGGCCAGAGGCAGTGACCCCTCCTGGTCTGCTGCATACCCATGCTTTCTGCCAGCTCTGCATCATGCGGCCGTGCTCCCCAGCCACAGCCCTCCAGGCGGTGAGCTCTCGGGTCCACTTCTCCTGCTGGGTCACCTCTGCAAGACAGGGAGGGCCAAAGTTGTGCCTCTGCAGCTGGGATGCCCAGTGGGGCAAGAGAGCTCCCAGCTCTGGGCCTACCTACGGGCACATCCCCCTTAAGGCCACCAGCTCCAGCGACCACTATTCTCCAAGGCCACTGTGGGCCTATCCTCCACATTATTCTCTTGGTGCTTCCCTCTGGCAGAGTGGCTCCAACACCCATGAGGTGATGCAGAGCCCCAGGTCTTGGGTGGGTGGGGTCTGGCTTCCTTAGTTATGGAGCTAAGGAGGGAGCCCAGTGGCCAGCTCAAGTGCCATGTGGCAGCAGGTCAGACTTGGCAGTGAGGAAACGTGTCTCCTCAGTGATCCTGATTCTGAACTGGGAGCGGCCCAGCAAGGAGAATCCCTTTTTAACTTCTAAATATCCTGCTCGCACCCACTGAACCTTCAAAGCAAGATGGATGGCAGAGGGGAAAAGACAATGCTAAGCTGCTTCAACAGCCAGGGTCACCTTGTACCCCTGCCTTCTTTGTATCTGTCTTTGGAGTAACTAGTATAAAGCTGCCCACAATTATTATCAAGTCCTGCTCCCTACTGGGTGATAAGCTGTGTCGGGGCCTTTGTTTCATCATCTGTAAACTGGGGATGGCAACAGCACCCATCTTGTAAAATAAGTGGTTTAATGAGATAGAATGTTAATGGGTCCCCCACAAGCCTGGTGCCTAGGGTTTCTGGGAATGAAGGACTACACGAACACTGCCAATAGCAGTTGAGGCTCTGGGTGAGCCTTCACATGGACATGCCATCCATATGGTGACTCCACTGCATCCTGTAGCAGCCTTGGGGCAGTGGGCAGGACAGCACAGCAGCAAGAACCAGGCTCACATATGCACATGACTCCCTCTCCAGGCTTCCACTAATAGGACGATAAGGGACCTTTTCAGAAATGTATAGACCTGAGGGGCCAGTGGTGCAGCAATAAGTTACTGGACCCACATGGGAAGGCCCCAGGTTTACATCCCCTGGCCTCCCTGTACATGCTCAGCACACTGCCATGACCTGGGCTGGCTGAGGCTGGGATCGATTATGGCATCCAGGCCCTGTTGGGATGGCTGTCTATCTCTCTCATGGAGGAAATACACACTACATATCTATGTATATATAGACACATTAAAAAAAGGACTAAGAATAAGAGAGGAAACAACAAATATCTATAGACACTGAAAAGCTAAGGGACACTAGGAAACTGA